AATCATCCAGTGTACCCCCTGGAAGTGCAGGGAGTGTGATACTGCCCTCTGTGTCATTGAAGACTAGGGCCTCTAGTTTCGCAGACCAGGCGAGACGGAGGCGCAGCGCACCTGCGCTTTGCCAACTGGGTGTGGCCAGGCGGATTTTGTAAGTTTGGCACACCGTGCGCACTGGCGCAACTACTCCTCTTTCCCACCTCCGTCCCTCCTACCTGCGCAAGCCGGAAAGAGGGAGGAGAGAAGGCGTGGAGTGAGTTTTACACAGCCCATTCACATCACACCAATCAAATGAGCCCCTCTCCTCACCCATAAATAAGGACCGTAATGAGAGTTTACTCAATTCGCCATGGCAGAAGAGAGCAGCAGTGTCAGACAGCCAAACTTCTCCCAGGAGGAAACTGATGTTTTGGTCCGGGAGGTCCAAGCTCACAGTGTCCAAATTTACAGAACTGCGAGCATTACAGGCTGATGATGCAAAGGTAGCCTGGGAGGAGGTCACCACAATTGTTAATCAATGTTGCGTTTCTCTCGTGCGCTCTCTCTTTCTCTCGCAGTCTCACTCTGTTTCTTTTCTTTTGACTTTCCTAAGATGACAGATGCTGAATATATACTCCCTATCTGATGCTGTGGCTGTTTGTGGTTGGCTGAGAGGGATGTGAACTTATTAGTTTGCAGCTGTGTTAATCAAATCAGGTTGGGTTTCCATTACACGTGCCAAACATGCCAAACGGTGCCAATCCGATCTGACATCACATGTGACAGGACAGTCGATATAGAGATACATTTATGTGTTGATTGCAGATAGTTGCATTGAATAGTGGTTTTTGTGGGTATTTACTGTGTCGTTAATGTGCCTGACATTCTGGAGACCTGCCTGTGAGGTTTTGGTGACGTGTGCGCACTGTCCGCCTGTCAGCCAAACTGCCACTACACCGGCTATGCTCCGCCTGCGCTGACAGTAGACCTGGTTTCAGCTGGCGAGCTTTTAGCGCACCTTCGGCGAAGCCTTTTGGCATGAAACTGTCACTGCGCCAAGCTGGATCTGTCGACACCTCCCCCTGCTGCGCCGCCACACCCATCTCAGCGCACCTTAGTCTACCAAATTACCAAACTGCTCAAAACTAGCTCCGCGCGGGGTTTGCCACCCTGCGTCACCCTGCGCCGCGCCTAGATCTGCTTCCAGTAATGGCTGCAAAATTCAATTTCTGTCTTTGTTTGTCCTTTGTATTTACAGTCATGTCATTATAAATACATTAAGGTGACATCACTGCAGCATACATATTCTAATACCCCGGTTTTTCCTGAAAAAAAAGATGTGTATAACATGATTGTGCTGAGATTTTACATGCAAGCAAAAATAGGGAAAAGAAAAGGCTTTGATGTCCAAGGGTGAACGGCAGCCTCATTCAATTTCTGTCTTTGTTTGTCCTTTGTATTTACAGTCATGTCACTATAATTACATTAAGGTGACATCACTGCAGCATACATATTCTAATATCCCAGTTTTTCCTGAAAACAAGATGTGTATAACATGATTGTGCTGAGATTTTACATGCAAGCAAAAATAGGGAAAACAAAAGGCTTTGATGTCCAAGGGTGAACGGCAGCCTCATTAGCTAATGCTGTATTCCCTTGTGTTTTCTAGGTGATGAGAGAGGTGTGTGTTAATGGGGGTGGAGACATGGATGGAGCTGGAGCTGGATCACCAGTGCACAAACCCNGCTTTTTTACACTACGAGTCACATTCACCCATTCACACACACATTCATACACTGGTGGCCGAGGCTACCATACAAGGTGCCACCTGCTACTCAGTTTTAACACACTCACACACCGATGGAACAGCCATCGGGAGCAATTTGGGGTTCAGTATCTTGCTCAAGGATACTTCGACATGCTGCCTGGAGGAGCCCGGGATCAAACCACTGATCTTTCGATTGGTGGACGACCCGCTCTACCTCTGAGGCACAGCCGCCAGTAGTTGGAGACATGAAATGCAATACTTTTTAATGTATGCAATGTTCATTCATTGTGGAAATTAAGAAGAAGCATGTTTGTCGTTTCTAATTAGACTTGCACCGATTACAATTTTTTGGGCCGATCCCGATTTCTGATTTGGAGAGTGTTTGGACGGCCGATCCCGATTTTGGCCGATTACAATTTAATTTTTTTCAAACCACTTTACAGCACACAAGATATTGCAATATTTTCTATCTTTCCTTTATTAGAACATTTTAACCAAGATACAACCAGCTTTTCAGTAATCATCTCAAACAAACAAACAAAAAGGATTAAACAGGATTAAAATAAGTAAGTAAAAAGGCATACATAAATAAAAACATAGATAAATAAAATAATAATTTTTGGTGTATAGCATTTGTGATCTTGAATAGACAAAAATTCCATAGGCTTACTGTCGACATGATGTAGGTCGCCTGTACGAAAGCCCTTAGCACTGAGGACGCGCCCGCCAGTAAGCGCACGGACACGCGTATCTTCGGCACACAGACACGCACCTCGTCAGTCACAAGTGGCACCGTACAGCAGTGAGAGCTCCGCAGTTAAACCTAACACGGATAATTAACAACTTTCTCCTTCTCTCTTTTAATGTGTGTCCGTGAATGATTAAGGTGAGAAGCCATATTTGTAAGAATTGAGTGTAACCTAAAGCTATTTTTCCTTTTGTTTATTTCAGAACCACACACGTAGCCTACACACTTATTGTGAACCTCCTGCATTGAAAGTTAAAGTATCCTCTCGAACCTGATTCTCTGGCTGGAATCATTTAGTTGTCCTACCCAAACCAGTGTGTCCCTGAGGTCCCCTTCTTCACATCGGCCAAGCCGTGAGTTGCACATGTGAGTGTGTGCGCTGCTGATGTTATACTATGTAAATCATGCAGCGCGCCGGGAATTTGCGGGCGTTTTAAGTCAGCATATTTTAGTCTGACCAGCTGGTCGCTGATCATGGCCGATCACGTGAAAATCGGCCCAATTTTGAGCACTGCCAATTAATCGGTGCAAGTTTAATTCTAATAGTTCCTTTTAAAGCCAATATCGGCAGATACCGATGACGTGCTGATATTAACGTGCATCCCTAGGTTAAGCTGTATATTTTAATTTCCAAATGTAATCGGTAGTTCAACATTTTGTTAAGTTTGTAATGCATACGAACCAAAAGCCAACCAAACAGTTCAGTAGGAATACATGTATTGTTACACCCCTGATAACGTGATAGTTTTTATTCCATTTTACACATTTTATTTGACTTCTTGACATGGAAATAGGCAGAAATGTTACAATCTAATACAATGTAAAACAATATATAGACATATACACATACACATACTCTACACAATCATCCAGTGTACCCCCTGGAAGTGCAGGGAGTGTGATACTGCCCTCTGTGTCATTGAAGACTAGGGCCTTTAGTTTCGCAGACCAGGCGAGACGGAGGCGCAGCGCACCTGCGCTTTGCCAACTGGGTGTGGCCAGGCGGATTTTGTAAGTTTGGCACACCGTGCGCACTGGCGCAACTACTCCTCTTTCCCACCTCCGTCCCTCCTACCTGCGCAAGCCGGAAAGAGGGAGGAGAGAAGGCGTGGAGTGAGTTTTACACAGCCCATTCACATCACACCAATCAAATGAGCCCCTCTCCTCACCCATAAATAAGGACCGTAATGAGAGTTTACTCAATTCGCCATGGCAGAAGAGAGCAGCAGTGTCAGACTGCCAAACTTCTCCCAGGAGGAAACTGATGTTTTGGTCCGGGAGGTCCAAGCTCACAGTGTCCAAATTTACAGAACTGCGAGCATTACAGGCTGATGATGCAAAGGTAGCCTGGGAGGAGGTCACCACAATTGTTAATCAATGTTGCGTTTCTCTCGTGCGCTCTCTCTTTCTCTCGCAGTCTCACTCTGTTTCTTTTCTTTTGACTTTCCTAAGATGACAGATGCTGAATATATACTCCCTATCTGATGCTGTGGCTGTTTGTGGTTGGCTGAGAGGGATGTGAACTTATTAGTTTGCAGCTGTGTTAATCAAATCAGGTTGGGTTTCCATTACACGTGCCAAACATGCCAAACGGTGCCAATCCGATCTGACATCACATGTGACAGGACAGTCGATATAGAGATACATTTATGTGTTGATTGCAGATAGTTGCATTGAATAGTGGTTTTTGTGGGTATTTACTGTGTCGTTAATGTGCCTGACATTCTGGAGACCTGCCTGTGAGGTTTTGGTGACGTGTGCGCACTGTCCGCCTGTCAGCCAAACTGCCACTACACCGGCTATGCTCCGCCTGCGCTGACAGTAGACCTGGTTTCAGCTGGCGAGCTTTTAGCGCACCTTCGGCGAAGCCTTTTGGCATGAAACTGTCACTGCGCCAAGCTGGATCTGTCGACACCTCCCCCTGCTGCGCCGCCACACCCATCTCAGCGCACCTTAGTCTACCAAATTACCAAACTGCTCAAAACTAGCTCCGCGCGGGGTTTGCCACCCTGCGTCACCCTGCGCCGCGCCTAGATCTGCTTCCAGTAATGGCTGCAAAATTCAATTTCTGTCTTTGTTTGTCCTTTGTATTTACAGTCATGTCATTATAAATACATTAAGGTGACATCACTGCAGCATACATATTCTAATACCCCGGTTTTTCCTGAAAAAAAAGATGTGTATAACATGATTGTGCTGAGATTTTACATGCAAGCAAAAATAGGGAAAAGAAAAGGCTTTGATGTCCAAGGGTGAACGGCAGCCTCATTCAATTTCTGTCTTTGTTTGTCCTTTGTATTTACAGTCATGTCACTATAATTACATTAAGGTGACATCACTGCAGCATACATATTCTAATATCCCAGTTTTTCCTGAAAACAAGATGTGTATAACATGATTGTGCTGAGATTTTACATGCAAGCAAAAATAGGGAAAACAAAAGGCTTTGATGTCCAAGGGTGAACGGCAGCCTCATTAGCTAATGCTGTATTCCCTTGTGTTTTCTAGGTGATGAGAGAGGTGTGTGTTAATGGGGGTGGAGACATGGATGGAGCTGGAGCTGGATCACCAGTGCACAAACCCGAGCTGGAAAAGGTAAACACACTTATACACTGATAGGTGTTGTTATCTTATGCTGCACTTTACCATGAATTATTATTTCTGTTATAGTATTTGGTTCTCGCAGCTGGTTCCATTATTAAGTCTTACTCCAGGTTGGCTGGATTTGATTTGATTTGATTTGATTTCACTTTATTGTCAGAATAAAATTCTGAAATGTGTCTTGCGAGACATAAACTGTTTCACATGAATACACATAAATACAAAAATACAAAACAACATTTAACCAGACAACAAAATCATACAACAAATGCTCGAAATCACAACAGACATTATGAAAAGTGGATGCAGTGCAACATATTACTCCTGTTAACTGTTACATTCAATGTTTGACCCAGGCTACCTAAAAACCATACTCTGAAGATTGACAGACTCAGGATCACTTACATGCACATTTTGCTTTCTGTTTCCACAAGGGTCCGTAAGGGTGTGGGTGACATAACTTGCTTATGTAAAAATGCCTGCAAGGATCCATGTGGATGTCTTCATGTCTCTCCACCCTGTTGTCCACATCTAAATTCTGGTGTATATCTAGCCCCTAACACACTATTATAAATTGACCATTTTTGCAGATTAACAAGACCAACAGAGTGTTGAGTTCTTTACTATTCACAGAATTTGCCACATTAGTCTCAGATCTAAATAGTTCTGAATGAAGACCTTTAGTATTTGGAGCAATACGTTGAGCAAAACTAAGATGGTGTTGCTGTTTTTGCCTGCTCAACCAAGAAAAAAGGATTACACATCTGAAATGAATCTTTGAGTGTTAGTCATTTATGACTTTACCTTGGCCAGACACACTGTGTTTTCGGGTTGTCCATTAGTCCGTAATTACTTCCATCAAGCGCTCCCATTCTTTTGAACAGGATATCCCAAGAACATTACAAGGAAATCTTTTCAAATTTGGCACAAATGTTCACTTGAAGGAGGACTCGAGGATTATCTAAATAGATTTTGGTGGTCAAAGGTCAAGGTCACTGTGACCTTGCAGCAGTCTAATTCTCGTGAATGCAATACCACAAGAATACCCTGAGGGAATTTCTTCAAATTTGGCACAAACATTCACTTTGGGTCAAGGATAAATTGATAAGAATTTGGTGGTCAAAGGTCAATGTAACTGTGACCTTCGTTCTTCCTCATTTTTCAAGAACACTGTATCTCAAGAAGACCTTCAGGGAATTTCCTCTAATTTGGCACAAATGTCCTCACAAAGGAACTGATTAGACTTTGGTGGGCGAAGGTCAAAGGTCAAGGTCACTGTGACCTCACAAAACATGTTTTTAGACACAACTTAGGAATTCATATGAAAGGTGGCTTTTGGCATCAGGCATCTGACACCAAAATCACTGACAAAGCGGCGGTATTTGATGACTTTGGAATGAGAATGGACTGGCTTTCCTCACATAATTGAACACAATCATACAGCTAGTAAAAGCAGTTAAAGTCTAATAAGACTTTATTCTGTTTAGCACAGGGGGGCAAGTGTAGAGAGCTGAAGGGAAAACACAGTGTTATTGGTTTTCATTGGGAAAAGCGGGTAACATAATACTGCAGTCATACTGTACCATATGTATGTGTCTGATTATAAGCATGTGTGTTAATTGGTGGACAATAAGCAACATCATAGGCTGTTTAATGCAAACTGCTCACAGCCTAATTATTTATCTACAACATGTTCCAGACATTCTTAAGGATTTAGAAGTTTTACAGAGTTTGCTATATATTACACCGAAGAGGTGAAAATCAGTTTTAAAGGCATTCAAGGGCCTCATGCAGCAACATTCTCTTAAATTTCTCTTATATTTTCTCTTATTTTTTGGGTTAAGAGAAAAAATAAGAGAAGTCAACTCCGGATGCACCAAACGCTCTTACCATCCAAATCTGCTCTTACCCAGGTGTGCTGAATGATGAATCCCACTTGATCGTAAATTGGAGGCGCGTGGCCGATTGTTTGCAATTATGTGACACCCACTAAACACCATGTAAGGGCAGGTGATGTGCCGTGTTCAAAGACCTAACTCTGGCACAACAGTTGGAGAAATGCCACCGAAAAAGGGAAGTAGAAAGAAGAAGAACTTTAGCAACAACGAAATTGAGGTACTATTAAATGAAATTAAATACAGGAAATATGATTTTCCAGAGCGTCAGTACTTGTGTTACAGGCACATCAAAAACACAGCAGTGGAAAAATATATGCGATGCTGTTAATGCTGTGTCAGCAGAGGGACGCACACTTGCAGAAATTAAAAGAAAAATGTTTGATATGAAAATGGAGGTAAAAAATTGCATTGCTCAAGCCAAGCACAGCATGATGACTACTGGGGTAGTACAAGAAGTGGTGAAGATCTCAGCAACAGACCAAAGAATTCAGGAAATAATTGGAGAAGTGGCACTGACAGGTAAGTGACTTTAATTTACAATTCTACAATTTCATTTAGGAGACATTTTCATCCAAAGTCACATTTATATTTGTTTGACAGAAACAAAAATGCAAGGGATAACACTCATTTTTATTGTGTCTAAAGAATGAAAAAAAAACATGTTTGTCGTCCAAAGGTGTTCAGTCAGACGCTCCACTTGACAGTGATGAGGTAGTGGTCTTGTCTGAGGCACCCAGCGGCAGCTGATGAGGAGGATCCGCAGCCGGGTACATCTGGGACTCAAGCCCCCACCAGCCAGGAAACCACACAATCGAGTGTATACAGTTTCTCCCGGACGCAAGTTGTGTCTGCCGCTGTCAGATGCTGCAAAACCAACATCAGATACTTTCAACACTGCAAGTTATATATACAACACTGACCTCGGTGCAAGAAAATATAAATGAAAACCGTGAAAGGATGAACGAAACACTCAAAAGAAATTCTAAATAAAACAATATGACACTGCGACTGGCTTGTGTAAAATTCCTCTAATTTGTTATTCACTACCATCTTAAGTTGAAGTTTACAAAGTTTTCAAAGGGCTTAACATGCTTACAGGTATCGAAAACAAAATGATAACTTACCTCATAAGCAGTCAATTAATTGCTGCCGAACGATGATGCCACCTCCATCAGGTGCGTCAACAGGGTCATCCGGGATTTCCTCCACAGAAGGCATCTGCTCTGGCAGTTGTATGCCACATCTCATCGCCACATTATACAGGACACAGCAGGCCATAGTCATCAAACATGTTTTCTCTGGAGTGTAGAGAAGCTTTCCACCTGCCGAATCCAGGCACATCCACCTGGCGTTCAGCACTCCAATTGTGCGCTCCACCATGGAGCAGGTGCGTGTGTGCCGGTGATTGTAAGAGCGCTCCTGCCCTTGACTGGGTTCAATTAACCAATAGGATTTTTTAATTAAATAATAAATCATTAAAAGTCATTTAAAGCATATAATAATCTACATTATATTATATAATCTGTTTTCTTATGTTCCTGAAATAAAAAACATGTTTCCGTGCATTCGACAAGCAATTCGTGAGCTGTGTAAACAGGATGATTTTCTATTATCTGGGTAAGAGTGCTCTCAGCCACTCGTAAATTTTGTTCTTACCTAAGAGAAGAGCAAAAATAAGAAAACATTGGTGAATCCCAAAAGTCAATGGGTACCAACAAAATAAGAGAAGATCAAGGATATGAACAAAAATGAGAGAAAATCCGTTCGTAAATCGTTTCTTGCATGAGGCCCAGTGTCTGGAAGATTACAGAACCCAACACCAAAATTGATTTTTTTCATAACATGATCACTGTGTAGTTTAAAGGAAAGTTCGGGGGTGATCCACACACCAAGATATTTAATTGTTCTACTTTGTGAAGAGATTGACCATCTTTCAAAACCAAAGAATTTGAAGTTGAGGTTATATCTCACACCTAGAAGCACTGAATAAGTTTTTGTTTTATTGAGAAGTAGTTTGTTAGCTGACAACCAAGTTTGTAGGATATCAAAATTAGATTGTAGGGACTCTTAAATATGTGATAAAGAGGCTTTTGATATGTATATAATGGTACTACCTGCATACAGTTGTGCACAGCAATTGGAAAAGATGAGTGGGAGTTCATAAATGAAAAAAGAGAAAAGAAGTGGTCCTAGAGTAGAGCCTTGAGGCACACCTCCGTGAATTAAACCACAGCAATGCATGTTGAGGAAGACCAGTAGCATGAAGTTTGTCCAAACCATAATAGTGATCAACCAGATGAAAAACTGTGATGAGACAAGCAAATATTGCTCCTGTGAGATGACCGCAATTGGATGCAGAGAAAACATAATTAGTGAATTTATGCATAGCAGTAGTTGTGCAAAAGTTAGATCTGCAACCAAACTGATATTGAGAAAGGATATTGTTATTATTATTATTAAGGTACTCTAATAATTGATTATAAATCTTTTTTTTTTCAAACACTTGAATTGAAATAGTATTAGACAGCTGTGTTTCTTTTTTCAGGAAAGTACTGTTTTGTTTACTTTGTACCTGTTTTATATTCATTGTTCTTCCTGTTTATGGTCTTCCCAACTGCCAGAAGGCTTCATGTGACAGACCAAGCTCAGATGGTGAAGCATCTCATGAAAATGGACACAGCGACTACAAGGACCAAGGTGAGAGTCCACATGAAATGTCCCCAAGGACTTTCCTGGGAAAAAACTCAACTCAACTCAACTCAACTTTATTTATATAGCACTTTACACACAACACCGTTGATCCAAAGTGCTCAACATCATACACAGAGGAAGACAAAGAGCTAAAGAAGAGAACAAACAAGAGAAAAAGAATAGTACCATCAAAGATAATAGTACAATTAGAGTAAGGTGCAATAAAATCCTGATAAGGAAGCACAATAAAGGCAAAGACTTCAGGTTAAAAAAACTTGGGGTGGTTGGCTTAGGCACAATCAAAGGCGGCGGAATACAGGTAAGTTTTTAAATGACTCTTAAAAATCTCAGGTGAGGGAGAACTGGATGGGAGGAGGGAGAGAATTCCACAATTTTGGGGCAGCGATAGAGAAACTCCTGTCCCCATGACACTTAGTCCTAGATCTCGGGACTGATAAAAACCTTTGATCAGAGGATCTTAGCTCTCTGGCTGTGTGATATGGGGACAGGAGTTAAGTAGGAGGGGGCGAGACCATTGATCGCCTTATATTCAAGCATCAGAATTTTAAAATCAATCCTGTAGCTAACAGGTAGCCAATGTAGTGAGGCAAAAATGAGGGAGATGTGCTCCCTCGTCCTTGACCTTGTCAAAACTCTGGCTGCTGCATTCTGGACAAGTTGAAGACGGGATAAGGAGGACTGATTGATACCAAAGTATAGTGAGTTACAGTAGTCAAGGCTGTGGATATGAAGGCATGGATGACTTTCTCCAGGTCAGAAATACAGAGAAATGATCTGAGTTTGCATATGCTGCATGAAACTGATTTGTTTGTCAAATTTTAATGCCACATCGAAAATGACTCAGAGGGAGCTAACAGGCTGAGGTGAGAAGGGATAGTGTTGGTCAGATACTGTGGTACAAATAAAATAACTTCTGTTTTATTGTCAATGAGCTGGAGAAAGTTTGCTGCCATTCAGGATTTGATATCATGAAGACAGTTATTGAGGTTGGTTAGTTTATTATAGTTGTTTGGCTCTAGGGGGAGGTAGAACTGAGTATCGTCCGCATAATAGTGGAAAGAAATGTTGTGCTTTTGGATAATGTGGCCTAGTGGGAGCAAATAGATGGAAAAGGGGATTGGACCAAGTATGGAACCTTGGGGAACACCACAGGAGATGGGGGCTGAGGAGGAGGATGTTTTGCCAATGGAGATACTGAAGGATCTGTTGGATAAGTATAAGGAAAACCAGTTCAAGGTGGGACCAGAGACCCCTGCCCATTCGTTTAACCTGTGGATGAGAGTGAGCTGATCTACTGTGTCAAAAGCTGCAGTCAGATCTAGGAGTAAGAGGATGGAGCAGTTTCCGGAGTCAGCAGCCAGAAGGAGGTCATTGGTTATTCTGAGTAATGCAGTTTCTGTACTGTGAAGAGCTCTGATACCTGATTGGAATTTTTCAAAGATACAGATTTGATCCAGGTGTGACAACAGTTGGTTGAAAACTACTTTTTTGAGAATTTTGGAAAGAACTGGGAGTTTGGAAATTGGTGTGTAGTTGTGGAGGACTGAGGGATCTAGATTCTTTTTTGTTTTGTTTTTTTGTGGCTGGACTACTGCATGTTTGAAAGATTTCGGAACATGGCTGGTTTCCAGAGAGCTATTGATAATTGAGAGAATACTGGGACCGATGGTGTTAATTACTTCTTTGAAGAGTTTGGTTGGTATAATATCAAGAGAGCAGGTGGAGGTTTTCATAGTGGAAATAGTATGATGAAGCTCTGGTAAAGTGATGGAGTAGAAGGAATTAAAACTGACAATGTTTTCAGTGGAGACGGATAGCCTATTAGCAGGTGGAGAAATACTAGCTCTGATGTTTATTACTTTGTCTCTAAAGAAATTTAGAAAATCCTCACATTTAGAGACAGATGCTTCAAGACATGGGGTGGGGGTGGAGGAGGTGACAGTTTAACACACTATAAGGTATCCTGGGGTTATGACAGTTCTTGTTAATAAGATCAGAGAAATATTGAGCCCTGGCATTTTTGACTACTAGCTGGTATTTCTTCAACAGATCCTTCAAAATTTGAAATGAGACCTCCGGTTTGTCATGCTTCTACCTCCGCTCTGCCCCTCTGCAAGCTCTCCTTCTTTGCTGTGAACGTCGTTTTTTAGTTTTAACTGGTGCTACAGAATCAAGGACAGCTGAAACTGTGTTATTGAATTGTGAGACAAGTTTCCCAGTGCTCACGTGGGACGATGAAGTCTCAATATTGTTTATGCTAGGAGCCTCTTTATAGGCTTCTGCAAATCTAGTGCCAGTGGAGGAATTTATAATGCGAGAGTAGAAGAGAGCAGGGCGGATAGGAGAAACATGCAGCAAATACAAACAAAAAATTATGGCTTTGTGATCATATAGGTGAAAGTCTTCTATCACAGGATTGGGGATGGAGAGACGAGTGGAGATAACTAAATCTAGTGTATGGCCTTTAAAATGGGTTGGGCCATTCACAGATTTTTGGAGCCCAAAGGATTCCAGTAAATTTATGAAATCACTGGTCATGGCTTCAGATGGTCAGCAAATATGAATATTGAAATTGCCAGTAATGAGGATGTTGTCATATTTTGGAGCAATGCTGGAGAGGAGATCAGAAAATTCACTGATAAAATTAATGTTAGGCTTTGGGGGTCTGTATACTAGTAGGCAGAAGACCGGTGAAGAGCCAACTATCACAAAAGACAGAGATTTAAAAGAGGAAAAAGGTCAGATAGGGATATTTGAACATTTAAGGGTATTTTTGTGAATTACAGCCACCCCTCCGCCATGTGAATATAACCTGGGTTGATGAAAATGAGAGTAGCCTGAAGGAGTGGCTTCTATGAGGGGGGAAAGATTATCAGGGGTTAGCCATGACTCAGTAGCCCTTTTTAAACAGGAATTGTGCAAATTTGCAGGAAAGCCCAATCGGTCTTCTTTCAGCATTGGCAGTATAAAAACAAAATCAGGGAGTGCAGCGAAATGCTGCCTGCCTACTTTTTTTTTTCAAATATTTTTTATTGAGAAGCAATAAGCAAGTCCAGAACAGATACTACAAATTGTGCAAAACAAGGCTTCCTTGAGTTTTTCATATGTGAATATGACAAAATAACAATAAGAACATTAAGAACATTATTACAGGACGGAGAGAGGAAAAACAAAAAAAAGCCAAAAAAATTAAAGGAGCGATAATGTAGGGACAAAAGATAAAACTTAATAAAAAATAAAAATAAAAATAAACCACAAGCAGACAAAACACAGGCCTAAATAGCAAATAATAACAACAACAAAAATAAAAGTAAAAATAATAAAACAAACAAACCCACCTGCCCTCCCGACTCTGAGGTATGCTACCTAGTAGTGTTAAATGTTACGGCTGTTTAAGTGACAAATAGTTTACTTTCCTTTTAAAAAGGTGATCATAGGTCCCCAAATCTTCTTATATTCCTCCAATCTGTCTGTTAATACACATCTGATTTTCTCTAGGTGAAATGTATCTGTTAGTATTGTTATCCAGTGGCTGAAAGATGGGAGTTCCTTCCCTTTCCAATGCTGCAGAATCCGTTTCTTAGCACAGAGAAGACCATAAGACAGTAAGCGGTATTGGGCTTTTGAGAGGTTTTTTGAAGTTTCTGAAATGCCAAATAAGATGATAACAGGGTCAGGCTCCATTTGCACTTTCAAAATTTTTGTAAAAAAAAGAAAAAAATCTCCAACCAAAATCCCTGTAACCTTGGACACAAAACAAAACTGTGCAGTAAGTCTGCTTCTGCATAGTTGCATTTATCACAGATAGATGACAGATCTTGGTAGATTTTGCTAAGTTTCACCTTTGAACAATGTAGTCTGTGAGTAATTTTAAACTGTATTAAATGGTGTCTTGCATTAAGAGAACACTGGTTTACAAATTGCAGTGCCCTTTCCCAGACCTCCCTCGTTATCTCCAACCCCAGCTCCTCCTCCCACCTCATTTTAAATGGCCCTGTATCAACTTGATCGTGATCTTGCCATATACCGTATAAAAATGAAATGACATGCTTATCTAATATACTCTTACTAAAACAAAGCTCTAGCTTATCTGGCTCAGCATTTTCAAAGTTGTGGAGATGTGTTTTAACGAAATGTTGGAACTGAAGATACCTAAAGAAATTCGTCTTTGGAATTTTATAATTCTCCTGGAGCTGCTGAAACGATGCAAAAATGCCCTGAAAGTAAAGATCCCCCACCCTACACAGTCCCATTTCCCTCTACCGGTCAAAACCTCCATCTGAAGCTTGTGTTGTTTGGACATCTGTCGCCAAATTAGGATGGTATTGTGTATAACTGGGTTGTCATTATAAAGTGATTTTTTGAGATGGATGGGAGACATCGCTACAGCCCCAAGTGAGTAAGGTAGACAATCTTCACATTCTATATACAACCAGTTGTCAGAAAGGATTGTCTCGTCCAGCCAGTAAGCGATGCAACAAATATTAACGGCCCAGTAGTAGCGAGTGAAGTCTGGTAAGGCCAGTCCTCTTATTTCTTTCCGTTTGCATAGGTGACCTTTTTTAATTCTATGAGATTTATTGTTCCAAATAAAAGGATGAATTATAGAATACAATTTTTTGAAGAAGTTTTTCTTAAGATATATGGGCATGTTTTGAAAAAGATACAGTAATTGGGGCAGAAAGACCATCTTGACTGCGCTTACCCTAACTATCATTGAAATTGGCAGTGTTTTCCAAAATTCTATCTTTGCCTTAAGTTTTTCAAGCAAAACTGTGTAATTAGCCTCAAATAGTAAATGATATTTCTTTGTTATCCGAATTCCTAAATATGTGAACTCCTCAGGAGCTAGTTTAAATGGGATCTGTGCTAGGATATTTGGGTCTTTGCAAATTATTGACATAAGTTAGCTTTTATTCCAGTTGACTCTTTAACCCAAGAAGGAACTGAATAATTCAATTGTGTCTAGCAGAGCGAGGATTGCT